TCCAAGGGGGAACTGGTGGATTTGAACTGTTGTCCTTTTGGTTAGCAGCTGTAGCTCTTAACTGCTGCACCAAGAAACAAAATATTAACCATAAAAAGCCTGACCCAAACTGCAAAAGCCTGCCAGAAACTGCTCTATAGCAATGTAATTTTGTCTCATTCTGCTAGAAAAGGATAGTTGTCAAACCATTACCTCCTAATTTAAATCTCAAAAAGCCTCATGGCTGCAGGTGGGTGGAGGGCCAAATTATTAGCAGCCAAGCCATAAGTAACCTGTGGTCAGTGGATCTCAGTAAAGGAGGAAGGCAGTGTTCAATCAATAACGTTAAGATTAGCCAATGGTTGATCTTCTATATTTCTCCCTCCTCTTGTTTTTATAAGCCTCATCGTACCTGGCTTCTTGGAGCCATATGCTTTTTCTGGAATCAGAATGGCCTCCCTACATGCATGTATAATAACTGCTCAGAATAAATCTTTTTTAATAAATTTTTTTTATTATACTTTCGATGAAGGTTTACAGAACAAATAGTTTCTCATTAAACAGTTAGTACACATATTGTTTTATGACAATGGTTAACAACACCATGACATGTCAACACTGTCCCCTCTGAACCTTGGGTTGCCTATTACCAGCTTTCCTGTCACCTCCTGCATTCTAGTCCCCGTCCCTGGGCTGTTGTGCGCCATTAGTCTCATTTTTTTTTTTTATGGGGCTGTCTAATCTTTGGCTGAACGGTGAACCTCGGGAGTGACTTCATTACTGAACTAAAAGGGTGTCGGGGGCCATACTCTTGGGGTTTCTCCAGTCTCTGTCAGGCCAGTAAATCTGGCCTTTTTTTTTTGTGAGTTAGAATTTTGTTGTACATTTTTCTTCAGCTCTGTCCGGGAGCCTCTGTTGTGATCCCGGTCAGAGCAGTCAGTGGTGGCAGCCAGGCACCATCTAGCTATGCTGGACTCAGTCTGGTGGAGGCCGTGGTAGTTGTGGTCTATTAGTCCTTTGGACTAATCTTTTCCTTGTATCTTGTTCTCTTCATTCTCCCTTGCTCCAGAAGGGTTGAGACCAGTGGAGTATCTTAGATGGCTGCTCACAGGCTTTTAAGACCCCAGACGCTACTCACCAAGGTAGAATGTAGAACATTTTCTTTATAAACTGTGCTATGCCAATTGAGCTAGATGTTCCCCGAGACCAAGGTCTACACAGCCCTCTGCCCAGCAATTCAGTCTCTCAGGGAGTTTGGCTGTGTCTGTGGAGCTTCCATGCCCTTTTCTTGTACAAGTTGTGCTGGCTTCCCCAGTATTGTTCAGAATTAATCTTATGTTCAAACTTTGGTAAGTTTTGGTTATTTTTAACACTATCGATATCTCTATACAGTTTTTTTCCCTGACCTTTGCAAAATGACTTACAAATACAATTCTCCTCTATCCTAGATATTTCCATGTGTATTTCCTAAGAACAAGGATATTCTCTTCAAAACCACAGCAATCCAAATCAGAAAATAACACTGCTCCAATCTTACTGACCTACACACTTGACCACTCTTTGCCAGCTGTCCCACTGGACATCTCTTATAGCTCCTTCCTGGCTCACCGTGGCGGGAGTTCACACGGTGCTCCACTTGGCTGGAGCCCTGGCTAGTGCAGTGTGTTTTTGGAGCCTGAATCTGACCATGTACCTCCATGATGTAAATCCCTTCAGTGGCTTCTTCGCAAGACTCTCTAACATCATCAGGTGTGCTGGACCTCCCTGGCCACCACATCTCTGCCCCACAGGTTCACTGGTTGTCTCTTAGGTTTTGGAGTATGTCATGTTCTCCCATTCTCAGCCTCAGCCTGCTTTGCTCAGTCAACCCTGCTCAGCTGAAATGTCCTTCCTTGGGGGCCTTTGCTGCCTCTCGGACTGGAGCCAGACTCAAGAGTGCAGAGGGACAGGCTGTTGCTGTTGATAGTGCATCCCCAACCTGCCTCCTCTGAAGTTGTCAAAGCCACTAGAAAAACCTTCCTGGGCTCAGCAGTGCTCCACTAGCAGCAGGGATTTGGGCTAGCTAAGCATAAAAATCTGAAGTGTGACATTTATTACTTACCTTTGTTTAAAAAGCTGTATTTTAGCAAAAGCCTTAAGTTGGTCTTGTATTTTGTTTTGTTAGGCTTTTAAGAAGCATTTGTAGTTTTGGGCAATCACGTATTTCTGAGTCTCAGGCCTTTAAAATGTGCATCTACGCTTACCTGATGCAAGATTACCTGGAGGCTCCCATTCCCCACAACTAACAACAGTACAGAGACCCGAGGGCAGTGACAGCTTGTCATTAGGCCTGAGCCACTACTACTGCCTTTCTCTTAGATTCAAGAACATCCGAACCAGGATCATTCTCTTAGCCAAATCTGGTTAACGATTTCACCAATTCCTGGTCGAAGTCAGTCAAGGTTCATCCTAGAATTGTACTCTAATTACTGTGTGTGTTTAAGGCAGTACACTTAAAGGATATATCCCATTGCAGTTGATCCCTCCCAGTTCCCTTGCCTCAGGGTATTTGCAACTCAGGGCCAAAGCTGCTTGAAGATTTTCCTTCCCAGAAAGGCAGACTAGAGGGTGGAGAGAGAAGCCAGGTCCTCAGCAGCTTGGGGTTAGGAAGTGAAAGTGAGGGTTGGGAGATGCTCTGAGGCCAGGAAAGGCAAGTCTTGGAGTTGTGCATGTTATGGGGCCCGCACTCTTGCTGAGGACAGGAAAGGACACACAATAATGGATTCATTCAACATATTATTTATTAAGCACCTATTTTGTACATGCACTGAACCAAACAAGATGTCAGCATCATGGATCTTACATTCCAGGGAAGAAAGAGGAAATAACAAGTAAAATACATTGTTCCACACATGGTAATTTGTTGCTATTAAGAAAAATAATACAAGGAATGTGCCACAGAGAGTTGGGGAAGGGAAGAGGTGAAGGTTGGTTGCCATCTTAAGAGATGTGGAAGGTTTCACTTCCCTGACACTGGAGGAAAGACCTGAGGAAGGGAGCCCCACAGATGTCTGGGGGAAGAGCATTCCAGGAGGGAGAAGGAAGGCAGGAGCACAGTTGAGTGTTTGAACAGGAAGGGCAGAGTGGTTGTATCTGATTTTAAAAAAAAAAAAAAAAAGAAGGCAGTGTATGAGTCAGGACAGGCAAGGCCTTGAGGGTCATAACTTTGGCTCATGCCACTGAGCAGAGAAGTGATATGGTTTAGATAACAGGATCCCTCTCACCGCATGGGGTCAAAGGCAAAAGCAGTAATCTAAGGGAAGGTGATGATGGTTTGGACCATGGTAGACAGTGGAGACAAGGGAGGTTAGACCCTAGGGTTTGCGTCTGGCAGATTCCCACTCCTGAGAATCACATGCCTCTAAGCTGCTTCATGGGACTGTACAGACCTGGTCCTTGAGCATTATCACTATGCACCGAAGACTTGAAAGGCACCCTTTGTCTTGTGACCCATGTAAGGGCCCTGGGATCTTCTACTGTGGTGGGTGGCAGGGAGGAAGCCCCAATAAGGACTAAAATGGAATTTCCCCCCAACTTTTGGGGTGAGTCAGACTAATTTGATTTAAAGAAAATAATAAAATACATCTTACATACCTCAATTTATATAACAAAATTAATCCCTTAGTTGCTAATAATATTTAAGGACAGTACTCAGTACATTTGTATAACGTACGGTTGGCCATTCTAACTAATGCTTGTGTTGTCCGGTTAAAGATCAGGAGAAAAGAGCACTTTCAGGTAGAGCCCAACTGACAGACCCAGTCAAGGTCTTTAACCTCCCAGGTGAGCAAGTCTGATAAGCAGTTCAATTGAAGGTTTCTATTTCAGTGAGGCTTCTTCCTAGCTCTTCTTTTATTTTGACCACAATCCTGTGCCATATGTATCAGCAATATTATTACTCCCATTTTGTGGATGATACCAAAGCTCAGTCTAAATGACGTGTCATACATGCTGTAGATTATTCTGCTGTAGAGTGTCGTAGCTAGGATCTGCACTTAGGTCTTCTCATAAGAAATCCAGTAATTCTGCAGCCAAATTATTTGCAAAGAATTCAAGCAAGTAACCAGAGATGGCAAAAAGCACATTAAAAATGAGACCATGCTGTAAATGACAAAACAGCTTTATGTACAGAAGAATGGAAGGAAAAATGCATAGTCTATGGATTAGAGAAATTTAAGTTGAAGAAATTAATAGCATTAACAAAGTATTGTAGGAAAATACTAAGCTTCCAGAAATGTTTTTGCAAGAACCAATTTAGCACGCTACGCGTTTATAGGTTTATCCCACTTTCTTCTTAAAATTAATGAAAGAGAACATATTAAGACTTTTCTGGGTCTTCTTCACGAAGCCCAGCGACGTCTTATATTCTCCAACACGCTCAGCCAGCCGGGTCTTGGGTTCCTGCTGCTGCGCAGTCCGAGCCGGACGCGCGGTCCTGCCGCTCTCCCGGACTCGAGTCTCTTCGACTGGCCGTGCTCAGACAGGATACAAGAGCCAGTTTCTTAGTACAGAGTCGTGGGCTGCTGGACGCGCTGGGGGCGTGAGGAACCGTTTCTCTAAGACTATCACTTTAACTACAGCGTGCCCCGCCGGTGTCTTGGCCGTCTCCGTCGCAGCGCTCGGGACGGCGGTCGCAAGGGACTCTTCCGGCCTCCCCCCAACCTCCCCGGGCGCCTGTCTCGCCGACCGCACAGCGTCGGCCCAATTCTTCCATCTGCGAAAAATCTCTCCGTCCAAACCGCCGTTTCAGAAGCGCTCAGGGACCGGCCAAAAATTCGGGATTACGTGCGCGCGTGCATCCGTTCGTGCGTGCGTGAGATGTAGGAAATCCCGCCTCCTGGCGCCTGCGATTGGCCAGGTCGCAGAGGTTGCGCTCCAGGGAGGAAGAAGAGCAGGATTGAAAGGAACAAGCGTCGGGAAGGAGGGGCGAGGGGGCTCCTCTACAACATTGGCTATGCCCGCAGAGCCTCCTCGCTGCGATTGGCTGGGCGGCCGGGGCGCTGTCTGGCGTCCTCTCGTCTCTCCGTGCCGCGAGAGGCGTCGGGATTGCGGGCGCCGGCCGTCAGAGTCAGAGGCGGCCTGGAGGCTGCGTCCGCAGGTAGCTAAAGCGAGGCCGGGGGCCGTGGGGTGTCAAGTCCTCCGTCTCTGGGCAGCCGCGGCGGGGGGCGGGCTGGGGCCAGCGGGCGTTAGCGTGGCGTTGGGACCTAGGCCTGCTTGGACCGCCCGCGGCGCGGGTCTCCTGCTGTTTTTCCGTTTCTAATGGATGATTGGGGTTTTTTGCAGACGTGAATTTTGATTAATTTGTTTCACGTACTCCTCACTGGTCTGGGTTAAAGTACATGTATGATGGTGTCATTTATCGTTGAAATGAGGGGCTTCCTGTCGTCTGTGTGTGTACTTTTTGGATTTAAGGGGGGGATGACATTGTCGTTTGCTCTATGACCATCGATTCTCAAGGTCTCGCCGACTAGTAAAGAAGTCGGGCGAATTCTACGTGTAACTCTTACCTATACTGGATTTTCCCTGTCTCCTCTCTCTCTCTCTCCATTTTTCTCTTTTTCCTTCCTCCTCCTCTCACTCTCTTCCACTCCTCTGCCCTTGCACCTTTATCTCCTTTTTTGTTTTTCTCTCTTCTACTGCAGGAAACCTCGCAGGAGGGTCTTTTAAAAATTATGAAAAGCTTTATGTCTTCAGCACTTTTGTTTTACTTGCAGATCTGACAGCTAGGAGGCAACTGGAGGAAAGATGCCCTCTGATTCTTTCTGTTTGGTTGCCCAGGCTCGACTTGACTCCAAATGGTTGAAAACAGATATACAGGTGGGATTTTGACATGCTTTTTTCTTGGTGTGCTCCTGTCTTCATATTTAAAGTTCTTGTTAAGGCTTTCTTTAGGATGTGTAATAGAATGTAAATTGTATCTTGACATATTAGAAAAGCAAGCTTATTTTCCATAACATAAAACCTACCTTTTATTATATCCGTTTTTATGGCTGATTTTGTAGATTATGTGTGGCTGCATTTTAATTACATTTACTTGTAAGTGCTAGGAACTTGAGCTCTAGTTTCACAAAAAATTTTTAGTCTGGATGACTCTTAAACATATTTTGGTCACTAGTGATAATTTTTGAGATGTTCAGATAGCTATGAGGGGAAAAATTGAAGGAGTGATATGCATTAATTTATTATGTCCTGCAGACACTGATTCATTTATGGGATCCTTTGTTTTTGTTCCTGGAGAGATGAGGGTTATTTCAGTTGAGCTGTTTGTTTTATATTTGTGACTGGCTTCATTAAAAGGAGTGCTCAGAGTTCACATCAGGAACATGTGGAAACAGAAGGTTGGCCTTAAACTCTCCAGTGTTCTGATTTAATAAGGTAATCGCGAACTTGTCCATAAATTATCAACAAATAATAGCAGTAATATTTTGTAAATTATTCTTTATCCCCAAGCTAGTTTTGCTTGAAAATGGTTTGGAAAAGCTACTTTTGGAACTCGTATCACCAGAAAAAAGAGATATCTGAAATGTTTTGTAGTGTTTTTTCTCCTCCTTGAGGTTAACGATTTTAAGTATTTCTAAAGTAATCTGCCTTTTATAATATCTTTCATACTATGTGACTGCTCATCAAGAGCCATATAATATATAAGGAAATGATAAAAGGTACTAGTAGTGAAGCATTATTGCCCCTCTCTAATTTTTTTTTTTAAGTAAGTGTTGAGATTGGCAGATGTGAGAGCCAACTATTTAGAACTGTGTTGTGGATAATGTGATTGTTATTAATGGTGTCATGGTAGATAAGTCAGAGCACAAAGAATTGGTTCAAGAATTGGCAGAGTCATCACTCTTGGTTTGTTTTTGTTTAAATGTTTCTTTTATTTAGCAATTACTATCTTTTTTTGTCTTTTTTTTTTTTTAAGAGTGGCGGGGAAGATGAGAGATGAGTGTCTTAGGCTGGGTTCTCTAGAGAAGCAAAACCAGTAAAGTGTATAAATCTATCTATCTATCTGTCTATATATATAGAGAGATTTATATCAAGAAAATGGCTCATGTGGTTGTAGAAGTTTGTGGGTCAGGATAGAGGCGTCTCCTGATTCATGTAGCTGCAGGAGCTGGCGAACCCAAGATCGGCAGATCAGAGAGCAGGGCTCTTGCTCACAGGCTGTAAAGATTGATGAATCCCAAGATCAGCAGGCAAGACCGCAGGTAAGCTGCTAGCTCAAGTCCCAAGAACTGGAGGTTAGACGAATGGGAGTCAGCTGCGGGATCCAGAGCAAGCAAAAGCCCATGAGCCTTGCCGGAGTGTCCACTTATATTTGATGGGGGCCACATGCCCAAGGAAACTCCCTTTCAACTGATTGGCTACTCACAGCAGTTCTCATCATGGAGGTGATCACAACGTCATACAACTGCCAAACCACTGAGAATCGTGGCCCAGCCAAGTTGACACACAGCCTTAACCATCACAATGAGTACTTTCTCGTTTCTGTAATTTTGAGATTCAGGCAAACTGGTTTTAAGAATTGTTTTCAAATTAGTATTTATATGCTTTGAGAAACTTGTTGAAGTGACTGACTACCCAGTGAAGGGTTTTTTAAAAAAAAGTACACATAGTGTTTTATGACGTTGGTTAACAGCCCCACGACATGTCAACGCTCTCCCTTCTCGACTTTTTTTTTTTTTTGATGAAAATATACATAGCCAGAGATACAGCATTTCAGAAATTTCTACATATACAATTCAGTGACATCTACATTCTTCCAGTTGTGCAGCTATTCTCACTATCCTTTTCCAAATTATTCTGTCACCATTATCTTCAACTCACTGGCCCCTGGACTTCCCATCAGACCTTTTGAGTTGCTGTTGTCAGTTTGATCTCACGTAGATAATTCTTTTTTTTTTGTACCTTAGATGAAGGTTTACAGAGCAAATAGTTTCTCATTAAACAGTTAGTACACATCTTGCCTTATGAGAATGGTTAACCCCATGACATGTCAACACTGTCCTTTCTCAACCTTGGGTTCCCTATCACCAGCTTTCTTGTAAAAAATTTTTTTAATAATCATAATTGAATAACTTCTAAATAAGAGGTTTTGCACCTTGATCTAAAATCAGTTCAATGCTGAGCTGTGTGCCTATGATGAGTCAAGCAGGTATATATAAAGAGAAGGACAATATATACCTTACAGTGCTTGTTATTTAACTTTTGATTTATCCAGTGTAATACCGTGTTTGACCCTTCTTATATGTTTCAAATGTTCTTCAGAAAGTCTTCTAATAGGAATAAATGAAGAGACCTAGGGTCTTTTTTTTTTTAAATATAATTTATTTTTCTTTTGGTTGTTGAGAACATACATATCAGAACACATACCAATTCTACAGTGTCTACGTGTACAGTTCAGTGACTTTGATTACAGTCTTTAAGCTGTGCAACCATTCTCACCCTCTTTTGCCGAATTGTTCCTCCTCCATTAACATAAACTCACTGCCCCCTGACTTTTCTATATAATCTTTTGAGTTGCTGTTGTCCAGTTTAATCCTATATAGTAGATAGATCTTAAAAGAGCACAGTGATCAAGACAGACATTCTTTACTAGTTAATCTAGAACTTCTGTTTGGTTTTAAGATACTTCAGGGGATATTTTGGTTTTAAGGTTTAAAGATTATCTCAGAGCAATAGTTTTGGGGGTTCACCCAGACTTCATGGCTCCAGAAAGCCTAGATTCTGTGAGAATTTGAAATTCTGTTCTGTATTTCCTTCCTTTGGTCAGGATTCTTCTATAGAATCTTTGATCAGAATGTTCAGTAATGGTGGCCGGGCACCATCCAGTTCTCGTGGTCTCACATGGCAAAGGAGACAGTTGTTCCTGAAGACAATTTACCGCACATTCCTTTTCCTCCCTCTAGTCCTGACTCTCCTTCTTCCTCTGTTGCTCTAGGCAAATAGAGACCAATTATGTCTTGTATAGCTGCTTGCAAGCAGCTACAGAACAAACTAGGAGATAGAACAGAAGCACTAAACATGTTATTAGGCCAGTTAACTGGGATGTTCCCATGAAACCATGACCCTAAACATAAACATCCAAACCAAGGAACCAAATTCCATGAGGTATTTGGTTGTACATAAGTAGCCTCAGCAGCTATACTTTTTTTTTTTTTTTTCTGGTCGTTGTTGTAAATATATCTAACATAACTTTTTCCAATTCAGAATTTTATAGACACCTAGGTATTGGATAGTGGACCAAAGGAAGAATGTGTCATGTGTATTGGAGTTATTTAATAGCATGAAAAGAGTGATTGCTGACCTTGGTTTCATACAGTTTCTCCAGCATTGCTTATTAAATGTGAGAAATGAATGTAATTTTACCCTAAGGAATTACTTAGACATAGTTTCACACTTCAGGATCCTGCCCTGCAGACACTCATTGCGGATACAGACTTTGTGCTGATAGGTTTTTTTATCCCTATCTTGTTGGGGATGTCTCTCCCACCTAAAGTGGGAAGCACCTATCACTTACTTAGGGTTTTGGTAGTGGGAACAGAATTGACACCTGGTAAATGAATAATATGTGGGATAGAATGATGTTTCTTAGCCACAGGATTTGGCAAATTTATTTTCTACAGCTATTTTTGTTTATTCAGTTCCCTTGAAATTTTTAGTGCTTTTAGAAAGGAAACTTTTGGAGACTGAAAACTTTTCATACGTGTGTGTTATAAAGAACACGGATTCTAGACTTTCTTGATCGCAGACTTTCAGATATGTCAGGCTTGGGAGCCTGCTACCAGCTGCCTCCAGTGGAGTACCCATACATGCCAGGCATTTATCTGGTTTTAATTCTTCTAACACTTTTTTTTTTTTTTTTTAAATCGTGCATTAGGTGATAGTTTACGGAGTAAATTAGTTTCCCATCTGATTGTTTGTACATAAAGTGTTTCATGACCTTGGTTTCATTCCCCACAGTGTGTCAGCACTTTCCCCGTTTCTGCCCTGGGTTCCCTGCTTCCTTTTGCCCTGATTTTCTACCCCCTTCCACCTTCTCATCTTTGCTTTTGGGCAGATAATGCCCTTTCAATATTATAAAATTGATTATTCTAAGGAGTACGTTCCTCTTGGGTGTTATTTACTCATAGGCTTGTTTATTGTTTGGCTAGGAGATTGTCTTCAGGAATGACTTCAGTTCCAGGTCAGAAGGGTGTCTTGGGGCCATAGTCTCGGAGATTCTTCCAGTCTCTGTCAGATCAGTTGAGTCTGGTCTTTTTTGTGAATTTGATTTTTTGTTCTACGTTTTTCTCCCGCTCTGTCCGGTACCCTCTGTTGTGATCGCAGTCAGAGCTGTTGGTAGCAATAGCCAGGCACCATCTAGTTCTTCTGGTCTTGGGGTTGTGTAGGTTGTGGTTCATGTGGTCCATTAGTTCTTTGGACTAATTACTCCCTTCTCCCTTGAGTCTTTGGTTTTCTTCATTCTCCTTTGCGCTGGACAGGACCAACACTCTTTTCTGATGATTGTGCGGAGTCAGTTGAAGTGCCATGTTTTCCTCCCCTGCTCTCTTGAAGAGATAATATGTAGAGTTGAGAGGTGTTAATTTTATCATTACCACGATCACCATTTTTACTTTTAAAAGTCATTCTGTCTATTGTGATTGGTAGTTTTTCAGTGAACCAAAAAGTCAATTAAGAAAACCAAACCAAACTCATTGTCGTTGGGTCGACTCTGACTCATAGCAACCCTATAGGACAAAGTAGAACTGCCCCATACGGTTTCCAAGGAGTGGCTAGTGGATTTTCACTGCTGACCTTTTGGTTAGCAGCCAAATGCTTAA